CACACACACACACACACACACACACACACACACACACACACACACACACACGTTTGTTCTTCAACCCCGTGGGGGCCGTGCATTGACTTCCATTCATTTTTTTTACTTTATATCCTGACCCTGACCATTTACCCTAAAATTAACCTCACAGGTATATCTACCTGACCCGAGAACTAACCTATCATCATCATTTATTTATGAAGCACAATAAAAACCAAAGTGCTGTACAGGAACATCAAATACAAACAATGAACAAAGTACAGTAATAAAATAAACAATCAAATCAAACAAAACAACAAAGGCTGGCCTAATGATCCTGCTCTTCAGACTCAAATGCCTGTTTAAACAGATGAGTTTTTAAYAGAGACTTAAACTCATTTAGAGACCCAGCAGACCTCACAGGGAGATTGTTCCAGAGCCTATTGGTCCTGTAACTGAAAAGGCTCTGTCCCCACTGGTCACAAGCCGAGACCTGGGAACAACTAAAAGCTTTTGATTTACAGATCTCAGGGATCTATTTGGAATGTGAGGCTGTAAAAGCTCATTGAGATAATGAGGTGCCAAACCATTTAGACATTTAAAAACTAAAAAATGAATCTTAAAAACAATTCTTATAAAACAGGCAACCAGTGAAGAGAATACAATATTGGAGTGATGTGCTCACGACGTCTTGTCCCTGTTAATAAATGGGCAGCTGAGTTCTCAACCAGCTGTAGACGACTAACCAAAGACTGATCAATCCCACAATAAAGAGAGTTGCAGTAGTCCAGTCTAGAAGTGATAAAAGCATGAATAACCTTCTCAAGTGCATTATGAGGCAGGTAATCCTTGACTTTACTTATAAGTCTCAGATGATAAAAGCTAGACTGGACTACTGCACTGACCTGTTCTTTAAATTTAAAATCAGAATCCAAAAAAAACCCCAAGATTTCTAACAGACACATGGCCAGACAAAGGGTCCAGTGGTCCAACAGCACTTCTGCATCCTGTCAGTTCATCAGAGTTACCAAATAAATGACTCTGTGTTTTTATCATTAAGATAAAGACAGTTCAGATCCATCCATGCTCTCACATCTTTTAAGCAATCAAGTAACCTATTTACAGACTGGGATCTGTTAGATTTTAATGGAAGATAGACCTGAATGTCATCAGCATAGAAATGGTATGGCATGTTACATTTGCAAAAAATAGATCCCAGGGGGAGCACGTACAATGAAAATAAAAAGGACCCTAATATGGTGCCTTGAGGTACTCCA